GGGGGGGGAAGGTCACGGAAAAAAAGTTTAGCCCCCCCAAACTGAAATCCGTTCCGCCGCCCCTGAGTTACATGAAGTATATAGGTCACAGGAACGCGACTCTGGGAACTACGTGACTCTGGGAACGTGAGTGCATGGGAGTGAACCGCCATGTTGTAAAATAAAAATATATATACAAAGTACAGACACAATCCATCATTTCAATGTGATTATTTATTCTAAACAAAAAACTTATTCTTCTACTATACATGCATAGTTAATCTCAATATAAACAAAACTCTAAACAATACTATTACTAAACAAAAATCTTACGTTTTTTTTTAATAATTATTTTCTTTTTATAAAATTTCTATAATATTAATGTTCAACTAGTCGATTATTCAGTTTAACTTTATTGTACTACATGCATAGTTAATTTCACTATAATTATATATTCTAAACAAAAAAAAACCCTTACATTTTTTTATAATATTTTCTTTTTATAATATTTCTATGATATTAATGTTTTACTAATCTATTATTCAGTTTAACTTTATTCTACCACATGCATAGTTAATTTCACTATATTTGTTCAAAGTCAAAGAAGCTTCGTTAGTGAAAACCAACCCTTGGTTTTTTTGCTTTAATTTTCTGCAACCCTTTGTAATTTTGGACCTTAAAATATCGGCACAACCTAACTTCACGATCAATGGTATTTTTCTTCAATCAAGAATACAGGGGTTGTTTACCATTTACATGGAAAACTCATCCGGTTTGAAATTATGCTGATGGTAAGCAAAATTTCAGATAGAAAATCCCATTCGAATTATGCGCTTTCCATTTAGAGTGACTGACTGGAAGGCACTGAAGGATTGTTTACCATTTACATGGAAAACCCATTCGGTTTGAATTAATAGTTTTAAACGTTATTTCAATTTCTAAAGGTCTCTTTTTTCTAATATATTCACGCCATCAACATTTCCGACGCACTACGGTTCAGCATATTTGCAATTGACTCTACATTGAGATTTTTGAGTGAAATTACTCTAAAGACCTCCCATACCAAAAAGCCTTCCGATGCCAATAAATTTATAAAGACTATAAATGCCTTTAGCCTGTAAGTTATACCTAATTTTCAATCTTCATCGGTACAAAATATTATATAATTTTCTTATAATGTTAGCAAACAGTTTACATTATAGTTTTTTTATAGACATAGTCTTTTTAATTATCAGTTTAATTATCTTCCATTTATATGGTTAATTTCAATATTTATTCACATGTCAACACTTTCTGATTCTATACTCTACATGTACCAAAAACAAATTATGTGGAAGTACAAAATAAATGTGTTGTGAGCACAACAATATATCCATTGCTTTAAAAGTATATGGCAATAAAAATTAACTTTGTCTTATTTGAAAGAACTTTTACGGCTATATGAAGACCCTTTACAACTTTTTCGTACCTTGTTTAATTTGTGTGTGCAGTCTGCCATCTTGGTACTATAATTGACCTAATTAACTGAGTTTTTGATGACATCACAAGCAGGGTAAACTTGTTAAAACTTCTTCATATGGGACTAAATTTCTTCGAAAAGTTTCTTAAAATATTCTGAGTTTAATTGAGTACTAAAAGACTTCGGAAAATCGAGTTTCATATTGATAATGACATGTGATTTGCAAGATAAAAATTTCGCTTTTTACCCTACTAGTGGCGTATGCATATTGAATGCATATCCAAGATGGCGGAATGCCCGCTGCTTTTGATCAAAATAAGTTGATTTATTTCGAGAACTAAACAAGATACGGAATAATTGTACAGGAAGTTTATATATCATTTTAAATATTCTCTCGAATACTAAGACAAATTTAATTTATATTGCCATATCCGTTTAAGTTTGGTTATACAAGATACGGTCAGGTTGAATTACACTGAAAAGCTTCGTCAATTGACTGAAAAAAATGTCAACGAAATTTTGATAGCGTATAAACCAGCACTTGTTTTTTGCTCAGCTTTGTCTGTTAGCCTTTGTAATTGTGGATCTTAACATTATATTAAACATTATATATAATCATAGAATGAGGCATAAAGAAGAAAATGTCAAACTTTATACGTTGGTATAAGAGGATGTGTGATTTCTAACAATCTGTAGAGCAATTCTAACAATAAATGCAATAGCCGAAATAATTAACAGCGCCAAAGCGAACTTCGAACTTGTCAGGTCAGGATCATAATTCTTGGCAAGACTTGCGGAAAGCGCCCACAGGACAACTGGCCAGTCAGTATAACTGTAGTTAAGGGGGCTCTGGATCTTGCTGAAGTTTTCCAAACTGAACCAAATTACAAGTTCGACCAAAAGGATTGCTAGAACAATGTTGCAAGATGATGATAGGTCCACGTCCCATTTGTAGTGCATCACCATGGCGACGTTAAGCAGTGACGCAATCGATACCCAAGTGGCATTCATCATGGCGCCTATAATAATATACAAATTAATAAAACGAAAGGCTGTTTAGTGCTTGAGGGGTGGGAATATAAATTGATAATGTTCAGAGACTGTTCATACTAGCTGGGCCAGCCTGTAGCTAGCCGTGCATAAAACTTTCATTTTTTGACACCAATGCCTATCACGCATGCTTAATTCATTCACTTACCTAATTGCATATTGTTATCGTAAGTAAAATATTGTTTAAGATAAAGAATTGTGTGAAATTACAGCATATGTCTCGTAGTGTTTGCCAAAGATTTCATGTAGGATCAGTGCTAAAGCCAAGTTTCCATTTGGTCGTTAGCTGTCGCTGGCACGACAAGTGGCTGATGTGATAGAGTGTCAACAAAACTTTATAAAACTCTGCAATCATTAAGACTGATTTGCATATAACACCCAAAAAGACTATTATTATGTTAGACTATTTCACATCTACCGCTTGTCGTGCCAGCGACAACTAACGACCAAATGGAAACTAGGCCTAAGGGGTCTAAAGCCTAGTTTCCATTTGGTCGTTAGTTGTCGCTGGCACGACAAGCGGTAGATGTGAAATAGTCTAATATCAATAGTCTTTTTGTGTGTTATATGTAAATCAGTCTTAATGATTACAGAGTTTTTTGTTGACACTCTATTACATCAGCCACTTGTCCTGCCAGCGACAACTAACGACCGAATCAGGGGCGGACATATCGATTTTGACTGGGAGGGTGTAATCACGAAATGAGACCGACCCACCACTGAAATGCGAATCCAGACCGACTCTTGGTGAGTTGGTGTGTTGCAATAAATCGAGTACAAAGCATGGAAATTGATAGCATTGACTGTAAGCAACAATTGGAAACATCGCCTAGTCAGTGGAAACAAGTTTTCGCTCCGTGATTTCAGATAAACCAGTGCGTCGTTCACTGATCGAATTTCTTGATTGCAGTAGGCACAAAACTCTTTGGTAACAAAATGCATATGCATATCGTGTTACATGTGAACATACTTCCTAATATAACTCGGCTAGAAATTCGTTGTTGCACTTTGCATCTTAAAAATATAGTTTAGGAACCGGAGAAATATTGTAACTAATGTTAGCTATTTTCATCGAGATTCGTCGCATTTTGGAGTCTGATTTTGTGGGTTTGAAATTTTCGCTAATATAGAATATCACCCGTGAATGACCTTGCAGAACCTAAATTCCAAATAAAAGTGCCAACACGTAATCGTGACATATAGATCCATGTTTGGAAAGTAAATGGAAACTTCATCCCTTTGCGCGTGTTTTGACTGATAATTCGTTCATAAACTCGCGAAATAAGTACGTAATATTTCTTCATATTATTTCTGAGCTGTTTGATCCGTTTGAGCAAATTTACAACTCAATACTCAATAGTTTGAGTCTATCTCGAGTTTCGAAAATATTTAATTTGCTTCGCAAAGCACTGCATGTAAACAAACGCATAATTTTGAGACCGACTGCACTTAGTTTGAGACCGACTGGATCATTTCTTTGGGGAACCCCCCACATTTACGCCCCTGGACCAAATGGAAACTAGGTTTAAGGAGATTGTCTATTTAGCGTGCGTCGTGGGTCAGTAATTCGATTGCTCAGTAATTCGCAACGAAATTTAAAATTTAAATTTTCTACTCACGACGCACTATCCACGACCCACGCAATTTCGTGCATGATGACGTAAAATCACATGAATTACTTACCGTTTTGTGCTAATATTCGTATGGCCCAAACATCTTTACTGAACCGAGTCAGCAGTTCTTTCTTGTGAGATTCATAATTGTAGGACACTACACCAAAAACTGCATAGAGTCCCAATGCATAAGCGATTATCGCGCCACAACTCCAGCCAATTTCCAAATAAGCGAACGTGAACAGCCAAGCAATGTTGAAGGCATCACTAGCTATGCAAGCCAGGAAAAATTTGCTTGTAAATACGGCTGGAAAATCGCGGAATAACGTCGACAAAGCGTAGATAATGTAGCCACCGTTTAGGGTGTAGATCAGACCCCAAATCGAGAAAGCCCAGCCTGCAGGAGTGATTTCAAGGTAGAAAATATCTGAAACGTTCTTGTTGCTCCTTGGGAAAGGGTCTTTGCCACCGCCGCTCAAATAGTTCAAGACCAGTTTGATTACGAAGACCAGCAAAGCCAGAATTCCACAGGCAATATTTGCTGCAGAAGCTTTGGACATTTTAATTGAAGTTGTTTTCGTACTTGGTTTAAAGTATGTAGCTGTCCTTCTTCGAATGGAACTGATTGTGAGATGTTTTGCTAGCGGGGAGCTTGCATTTATAGGGTCATATATTAGCTGCATGATCAAATTACGCAATGTGGTACGCGTGACCTGGCATGTGAAGGCATCTATAACAGGAAATATAAATACTTTATTTGATCGTATTGGAAATATTGCAAATCGTTCAGTGCAAAATCATTGAGTCCTTCCCGCAAAAACCGTCTCAAATCACGCGAATTAACGCAAATAATTTTTAGTAGCTTTCATTTATTATGTTCTGGGTCGGTTTTTGTGGGTGGGCTTCTTGTGTTTTAATTAATCAATCTGACATCAGATGTTATGTAACATTATTGACACAACGTCACAGCTAGGCCACGCATGGGCCCGGCGCATACCAGTGCAAGTTGCACGCACACTTGTCATTTGTGACCAATTAAGCAATTCGTTTTCTCGCTTATGTCGATCATTGAGTAAATACGCGTAAAGCCTAGTTTCCATTTGGTCACAGAGGATCTGGTCATTAGTTGTCGCTGGCACGACAAACGATAGATGTGAAATAGTCTAATATCAATAGTCTTTGTGTGTGTGTTATATGCAAATCAGTCTTAATGATTGCAGAGGTTTATAAAGTTTTGTTCACACTCTATTACATCAGCCACTTGTCGTGCCAGCGACAACTAACGACCAAATGGAACTGGGCTTTAGCTGGCTACATTTGAAATCTCTTTTTAACGAAATGCCGGAAACGTCAATGAATTATGGACACATTTTAATACGGCATTCAATAATACATACATACATTCATTAATGCCAGCATTCATTTTAATACGCCAGAATACGAATCGTACTCTTAGCGAGTGCGCGTTTGGGAGTCATTCCCCCCTGGACGACATTTTGAATATTAGACAGATTTAGATCGAGGACGCGGACGTCAAACACGACGTGAAAATGGCGGCAAGATAATTCCCACTTTTCGACGGGTTTGCTGGAGGTTTTTCTCCGGCTATTTCCACAGAAACATTTGTGACTAAAAGCCTAAATTGTTCGTCGTTGCTAAGCTCCTTTTGAAGGAACAAATCCGCCATTTTGACAAGTTCCGTATAACGCGCACGTAGGGCGAGCGTTATACAAGCATAAATTACATAATATTCATAACGTAAATTACCACCAATCGGTATTTTAATACGGCGGGGTTGGGGAATTGGGAAGTTGGTATGTTACAGACACCGCATTCCGCACATAGAACTCACAAAGGTTTGAATCATTGAATGACTAACAAAACATTCCGCAAACACAAAAGCACAAAGGTTTGGACGACTCACAAAAACATTCCCAAAACACGCAAAAAAAAAAACAAAGGTGGCGGTTATTTCAATCTTCATCAGTACAAAATATTATATAATCAGTTTTTATAATGTTAGCAAACAGTTTACATTGTCTTTTCTTCATTTATCAGTAATATGAAATTGCTATAAATGTTCTGCTATTGTCTTTTTAATTATCCATTTAATTATATGGTGCATTTCAATATTTATTCACATGACAACACTTTTGATTTTATAATTTACATGTACCAGAAACAAAGTATGCGGAAATACAAAATAACGTGATGTAAGTACAAAAATAGATCCATTGCTTCGAAAGGATATGGCAATAAAAATTAACTTTGTCTTATTTGAAAGAACTGTTAAAGCTATATGAAGACCCTTTACAACTTTTTCGTACCTTGCTTGGTTTTCGAAATATTTTGACCAAAAACAGTGTGCAGTTCACCATCTTGGTATTATAATTGACCTAATTAACTGAGTTTTTGATGACGTCACAAGCAGGGTAAACTTGTTAAAACTTCTTCATATGGGACTAAATTTCTTCCAAAAGTTTCTTAAAACGTTGTGAGTTAATTGAGCAGTAAAAAGACTTCAGAAAATCGAGTTTCATATTGATAATGACATGAGGTTTGCAAGATAAAAATTTCGCTTTTTACCCTACTTGTGACGTATGCATATCGAATGCATATCCAAGATGGCGGACTGCACGCTGCTTTTGATCAAAATAAGTCGATTTATTTCGAAAACCAAGCAAGATACGGAATAATTGTAAAGGAAGTTTATATATCATTTTAAATATTCTTTTAAATAAGACAAACTTAATTTATATTGCCAGAATCCGTTTAAATTTTGTTATATACGATACGGTCAGGCTGGATTACACTGAAAAGCTTGGTCAATTAACTAAAAAATGTTTAATGAAAATTGCGTCTTTGAAGAAGAGGTAGCAGTAAATATAATCAAAGTCAACGAAATTTTGATAGTGTATAAAGCAGCACTTATTTTTTGCTCAGCTTTGTATGGTAGCTCTTGTACTGTAATTGTGGATCTTAACATTTTGGCACAACCTAGCTTCCATGATATTTTTTTCAGGAATATATGAAAATTGTTTAAACATATTATAATCATAAAATGAAGCATAGAGAAGAAAATGTCAAACTTTACACGTTGGTGTACGAGGATGTACGACTTCTTACAATCTGTAGAACGATTCTGACGATGAATGCATTAGCCGAAATAATTAACAACGCCAAAGCGAATTTCGAACTTGTCAGGTCAGGATCATAATTTTTGGCAAGACTTGCGGAGAGCGCCCACAGGACAACTGGCCAGTCAGTATAACTGTAGTTAAGGGGGCTCTGGATCTTGCTGAAGTTTTCCAAACTGAACCAAATTACAAGTTCGACCAAAAGGATTGCTAGAACAATGTTGCAAGATGATGATAGGTCCACGTCCCATTTGTAGTGCATCACCATGGCGACGTTAAGCAGTGACGCAATCGATACCCAAGTGGCATTCATCATGGCGCCTATAATGAATTACAAATTAATAAAACGAAGACTGTTTAGTGCTTGAAGGGCAGGGATATTTGATGATGTTTAGAGGCTGTTCATACTAGCTGGGCCAGCCTAGCTAGCCGTGCCACGAAAATTTTTTCTGACCATAAAAGATTGTTTTGAGTGAACTTTATACTGTTACTAAATATTAAGCTACAAGTTTAGTTCAGCTTTGACATGTTATTTTGGATGTAGTTATGAAATCTGTAATAAGAGATTTATTGTTAAACGAATCATCCTGGATAACCGGGCCAGTTATGCTCAATACTTCATTTCTGAAACGCAGAGAGGAGTGCTAAATCAGGTAAAAGACACGAGAGCGCGACTGCGAGTGTTTTAAATGGCTTCAAAAAGACCTATCGCATAATGAGTTCATCGGCGAAGTAATTTTAAAAATGAACGGTGTCTAAGGCGAGAAAATCAAAACTGAAGTTTATGTCAATATCCATGAACATGATAGTCCAGTCAATTTGTGACCGGAGGTCAAAGAAATTGCAATAGAATTGTTTTCAGTGGTAAAATGTGAGGGAAGGTGTCCTGATTAACATACTAAAAATCCCTTCGGTGGAACATGGTGAAAATCGAGTTTTTCTTACTTCTACCTATAGAAAACCATTGTGGACAGAATGTTCAAATTTTGAAATCATTTTTAGGCAAATGTAACCTACATTATTGGAAAGCTTAAACAAAACTATAGAAAGGTCAGTTTGTCGTTATTCTAGCTCAAAGTTGAAAAAATAGCTCAAAATTTGCACAAAATACAAATTTATGGCATTTTAAATCTTCCATAACTTTGGCTGGATAGGCGAAAGCAAAGTAACCGTTTAATGATCTATATTTTAGTTTTTCTAAGCTTCCAATAATGTAGGTTACATTTGCCTAAAATTGATTTCAAAATTTCAACATTCTGTCCACAATGGTTTTCTATGGGTAGAAGTAAGAAAAACTCGATTTTCACCATGTTCCACCGAAGGGATTTTTTTTTATTTTTAGTATGTTAATCATACTCAGACTAAGTTTAGTTATTTTACACATACACATTATACGAATATAGGCCTATATTATATTTACAATAAGAAAACAACTAACCCGACTGTCAGAAACGAGATCAGAAAGTGGAGAAAGAGAATAGACAAAGATATATAAGGCCAACTTTCGACCCTATATATCTTTGTCTATTCTCTTTCTCCACTTTCTGACAGTCTGGTTAGTTGTTTCCTTATTGTAAATATAATATATTTTCATATAATGTGTATGTGTAAAATAACTAAACTTAGTCTAAGTATTATTAGTATAAACCTACTAGTAGGCTATCACATATCGTGGCTTCTGATTGGCTACGCTACTAGTAGGCTATTAGTGATAGCCTACTAATAGAAAATTCAAAATGGCGGAAAATTCGCGTTTTGCACTTTTGCCGAAGTGTCTGATGATTTTTTGGACGACTTGTTGAACAATTCTGTACTAAAAAACCCCGAAAAAAGCAACAAAAATATGGAATGGCAATTTTTAAGGGTAAGAAAATAGACAAAATAACATACACTCAATGAAATTTTAAAATTAAAACTGAATTTTGTAAAACATTTTACGCGAACAAAAAGTAAAATATTTGTTTACATTTAATGATTTTAGAATGTTTTTTGTGTATTTTTGTAGTGTGTTTGCAGCCTAGTTGTAAATTAATGTTAAAGTTTATACTAAAACAATTAGACAACTCGGCCTCGTTGTCTATGAGCAAATAGTCAACTCTGCTTCGCCTCGTTGACTATTCGCTCATAGACAAGTAGACAACTCGGCCTCGTTGTCTAATTGTTAATTAGCTAAGTCTTTGCCTTGTTAATCCTCTTTTTCCGGTGTCGTGTATTCTTCCGCTCTTGCTCTGTATATATGCTGTATGTAACGTATTGTATTTCATTCTGTCTGATGATGACTTTAAAATAAAGTCGAAAATTTACAGTCTCACACACTCGTCTTGTTTTAATTCATATCTTGAATTTCAAGATGACCTTATTTTTTGGAATTTGTTTCTTTTTGTATTTACAGCATATGTCTCATAGTTTTTTCCAAAGATTGCATGTTGGCTTTTAAGATCAGTGTACCCTGCTAGCAAGGGAGATTGCTCATTTAGAGTATGTCGTGGCCTCGTGGGTCGTACTCGCAATTTTGAATTGAAATTTTCTACCCACGACACACTACCAACGAACCACGCAGTTGAGCCATCCTCAGTGCTAAAAGTTTATGACGTCGTAAAATATATAGGCGAACAAATTAACAGTTATTCGCCGAAGGCAAGGTGATTATCGGAGAATATTCGCCGAGACGAAGTCGAGGTGAATATTCCCCGATAATCACCGAGCCTGAGGTATTAGTATTCTTGTGTTTTTTTGGGACTGAATTTATTTTAATTTTGCTTATTTATAATGGCCGCACAACGGCTAGCCGCCATTTTGAAAATTTCGGTTTTGTTATATTCACTACAAGTGAATATAACAGCTTAATACGTCAAATATGACCAATCTGCAATTTGTAGGATTTGTTATGTTCACTTGTGCAAAACATTCTAATATGAGTACTTACCGTTTTGTGCTAATATTCGTATGGCCCAAACATCTTTACTGAACCGAGTCAGCAGTTCTTTCTTGTGAGATTCATAATTGTAGGACACTACCCCAAAAACTGCATAGAGTCCCAATGCATAGGCGATTATCGCGCCACAACCCCAGCCAATTTCCAAACGAGCGAACGTGAACAGCCAAGCCATGTTGAAGGCATCACTAACTACGCAAGCCAGGAAAAATTTGCTTGTAAATACGGCTGGAAAATCGCGGAATAGCGTCGACAATGCGTAGATAATGTAGCCACCGTTTAAGGTGTAAATCAGACCCCAAATCGAGAAAGCCCAGCCTGCCGGAGCGATTTCAAGGTAGAAAATATCTGAAACGTTCTTGATGCTCCTTGGGAAGAGGTCTTTGTCACTATTGCTCAAATAGTTCAAGACCAGTTTGATTACGAAGACCAGCAAAGCTAGTATTCCACAGGCAATATTTACTGCAGAAGCTTTGGACATCATGTACTTGAAGTTGTTTTCGTACTTGGTTTGAAGTATGTAGCTGTCCTTCTTCGAGTAGAAGTGATTGTGAGTTGTTTTGATAGCGGGGAGCTTGTATTTATAGGGTCAAATATTAGCTGTCGCTCTGTCGCACAATCAATTATGCAATGTGCCGGGTACGCGTGATTTGGCATGTGAGGGCATCTTAACAATGAAAATACTTTATTTGATCGTTTATTCGTTTAGTAAAGCTCTTATCACGGCTTTGCTTTGTAAACGTTCAAAATAACACTTGAAAGTTGAACTATAGCTTTATAGTTTGTCAGTTTGACTCCTTTATATAGTTTGTCAGTTTGACTCCAGTAGGCAGTACGCTACAAGTCCTATAAAAGTTTATTAATCAATCGATGAATAACGACGCAGTCGGCAACTTCACGGTTCAGTTTAAGATTGAGAACTAAAGAGCTTCATTGAGGCTTTTTAAAATAACCTTAGAAACAGCTAAGTTCGGGAAAAACGATCCGGTGTTTGCTATGGCCTACTATACGGACTCTTCGAACTTGCTATACGAACTTTCCGAACATCGAGTTTATCTATTGGTCGATTGTCGAGTGTCGAGGGTTAAATGTCGAGGACAAGAGATAAAAGTCGAGGGCGAAGGTAAAAAGTCGAGGGTATTTTGTCGAGGGTAAAAAGTCGAGGGTATTTTGTCGAGGGTAAAAAGTCGAGGGTATTTTGTCGAGGGTAAAAAGTCGAGGGTAAAAAATCGAGGGTAAAAAGTCGAGGGTAAAAAGTCGAGGGTTAAATGTCGACTGCTAAATACTCAAATGTCGAGGGTAACATGTTGAGGGTTAAATGTCGAATATTACATGTCGAGGGTGAAAAAATCACCAAAAAATACTATATTAAGGTCTGGTAACCGCTTCGGATAAGGACATAGCGACGTCTATGTGTCTTCTCGGCAGTATTGTTATATGAGCACTTTTAAACCAAATAATCAAACCTATAATATGCGTTCTACGCACATATACTACGTGGCGTATTTTGCGTTTTAAATATACTAAAAGGGAGTTTAAGCTTCGCATTCAGAAGCGTTGTCCCCCTGACGTTTGCCGTTAGACGTTTGAACGCAAAGTTTAAACTCGCTAATATGCCATAGCGTGGCTTTGCCTCCTGATGCAGCCAGCAATAAAATCAGTTATATATTATTTATTTTGTTTTCTACGCAAACTATATTACATACTAAGAAGGGCGCTTCAAAACACGCCCTGCTTTAACCGACAATAAATAAATAAATAACCGACAATTAGGGCCAATTAACATCGCAACTTGATATGTATACATGGTTTGCAGTAAACTGTATGGGCTTAATCGGCTAAATTATTATTCCGCAAAGCAGATTAAAGCGCGTAAAAAAAAGTACTTATCGTTAAATTTTAAGATTTTTTTTTCTATTGGTTTAAAAGTGCTCATATAACAATACTGCCGAGAAGACACATAGACGTCGCTATGTCCTTATCCGAAGCGGTTACCTGACCTTAAAAAACTCATTAATAATTCAGGAGCAAAACACAAAGAAAAATCATAAGCGTGTCGTGGTTATATATGTGATATAAAATAATGTTAATTTACATAAACTTTAGCTTTGATTTTCTCTGTTTAGACAAAGTTTATTTTAAAAATTACTTCGCCAATCAACTCGTATAAGCTGAGTCGTTTTTTAAGCCATTTAAAGCACTTGTAGTCGTGTTTTATCACATATAAAACTCACTCCTACGCGTGCTTTAAATAGTACTTCAAAAATTCATTAATAATTCATGAAAACACAAAGAGAAATCATAAGCGTGGCGTGTCTTTATATGTGATAAAACACGCTTCAAATTTCAACTTGTATTTTCTCAGCTAATGCAAAGTTATTTTCGAAAATTATTTCGCCAATGCCGTGATCTAACAGACGTTTTTGAAGCTGTTTAATAAACTCGTAGTTCGTGTTTATCACATATAAAACACTCCGCTACGCGTCGTGTTTTATATGTGATAAAACACTCCTACTCGTTTATTAAACAGTATTTAATATCGTATTTTTGGGGGATTTTTTCACCCTCGACATGTAATATTCGACATTTAACCCTTGACATGTTACCCTCGACATTTAGCAGTCGGGCATGTAACCCTCGACTTTTTACTCTCGCCCTCGACTTTTAACCCTCGACACTCGACCCGAATAGATAAACTCTCGAACATCGCAACATTGAACAAGCATTCACGTTGGCGTTAACTCCAATAACATTAGAGACCTTACAATTTATAGTTTGTTTTCATTAAGGTTGGTCTTCATAATACATATGGGGCTATTCATGTCCTGTTGACCATACCTTCAACCATATTATGTAGTTTTTTTAGTCTATTTTATGTATGGTTGTAAAGTTAATAAATAAATAAATAAATAAATAAATTTTAGGACGGCAACGCGACGACGACGGCCAAAACAAACTCCTTCAAATAAATGGTAGTAAAGATAATTTGTCTTATATTATCAATCGTATGAATTTAATAGTACAGTCTTAGAAGTTCAAGACATGGGTTTTATAGTTGCACTTGTTGCGACTTGAAATGTAACCGTTGGCGTTGTGTCAAGACCTGAAAATCTGTCTGTGATTTGGCGTTTTTTTTAGTAGTCCTTGGACTAACTATTGGACTACCTATGTAGGTAGTCCAAGAACCAGAAAAAGTGTCACGGTACCAAAATTTGAGCGTAGAGACACTATGCCTTAATTATTGGTATATCACGGATAAAATAATGGTACGGACCACTTTTTTGGTTCTTAGAACCAAAAAAGTGGTAGGGTACCAAAAATCGAGCGTAGTGTAAGGCGGGTCTTTAATATTATATAATTTTTTTTTATAATGTTAGCAAACAGTTTACATTGTCTTTTCTTTTTATCAATAATATGACATTGCTAGAAATGTTTTGCTATAGTCTTTTTAATAATCAGTTTAATTATCTTCTATTTATATGGTTCATTTCAATATTTATTTACATGTCAACACTTTTTTGATTCTATAATCTATACATGTACCAAAAACAAAGTCTGTGGAAGTACAAAATAACGTGTTGCAAGTACAAAAATAGATCCATTTGCTTCAAAAGAATATGACAATAAAAATTAACTTTGTCTTATTTGAAAGAATTTTTAAAACTATATGACCCTTTACAACATTTTCGTACCTTGCTTGGTTTTCGAAATATTTTGATCAAAAACAGTGGGCAGTCTGCCATCTTGGTATTATAATTGAGCTAATTAACTGAGTTTTTGATGACGCCACAAGTAGGGTAAACTTGTTAAAACTTCTTCATGTGGGACTAAATTTCTTCGAAAGGTTTCTTAATTGAGAACTAATAAGACTTCAGAAAATCGAGTTTCATATTAATAATGACATGTCGTTTGCAAGATAAAAATTTCGCTTTTTACCCTACTTGTGACGTATGCATATCCAAGATGGCGGAATGCACGCTGCTTTTCATCAAAATAAGTCGATTTTTTTCGAGAACCAAGCAAGATACGGAATTGTAAAGAAAGTTTATATATCATTTTAAATATTCTTTCAAATAAGACAAACTTAATTTATATTACCATATTCCTTTAAGTTTTGTTATATACGATACGGTCAGGTTGAAATACACTGAAAAGCTTCGTCAATTGACTGAAAAAAGTTTAATGAAAATTGCGTCTTTGAAAAAGAGGTAGCAATAAATATAATCATCAAAGTCAACGAAACTTCGATAGTGTAAGCTTACCAGCACTTGTTTTTTGCTTAGCTTTGTCTGGTAGCTCTTGTAATTTTGGATCTTAACATTCTGGCTATATGAAAATCGTTTAAACATTTTATATTATCATAGAATGAGGCATAGAGAAGGAAATGTCAAAACTTTACACGTTGGTATAAGAGGATGTATGATTTCTTATGATCTGTAGAACGATTCTGACGATAAATGCAACATCCGAAATAATTAACAGCGCCAAAGCGAACTTCGAACTTGTCAGGTCAGGATCATAATTTTTGGTAAGACTTGCGGAGAGCGCCCACAGGACAACTGGCCAGTCAGTATAACTGTAGTTAAGGGGGCTCTGGAGCTTGCTGAAGTTTTCCAAACTGAACCAAATTACAAGTTCGACCAAAAGGATTGCTAGAACAATGTTGCAAGATGCTGATAGGTCGACGTCCCATTTGTAGTGCATCACCATGGCGACGTTAAGCAGTGACGCAATCGATACCCAAGTGGCATTCATCATGGCGCCTATATAATGAATTACAAATTAATAAAACGAAAGGCTGTTTACCGGTAGTGCTTGAGGGAGACAGGGATGATTGATGATCTTTAGAGTCTGTTCATGTTATGCACTAGTCAATTGGTGATAGGGCCGGGAAATTAACATTTTGACTATGTTAAAGTTTGGTAATTTCCCCGCTACTGGGGGAATATTGACTGTTAAATTTAACGCCCCTATGGACCCGGCACTTTGCAAATTTTCATGACTTGGGAAATGGAAAATCGTTGAAGTATACAATGTTCACAACATGTGAAGGCAATTCTTGATCTTAAACTTTGATCCGCATCAAAAGATACTGAATAATCTACGTTTTGAGGATCTTGCAGTCGCTTGTGTGATGTTACACTGAGTGTATATCCACACCGGGCAGGCTTGAAAAATATGCCTGGCCACGGTGGGAATCGAACCTACGACCTTTGGACTAGCCCAACGCTCTGCTGACTGAGCTACATACATAAACTCGTTCCAGTCCACTTTCATATCAGCCACGCGTTAAAGTCCCGGCTATTGTTCCGGCTTATAAATTGACTTGTTATTTACCCTGTACCCCGGGGAAAATGGTGCGTTAAAACCGCGTTAATCCACGGCCATTCCCCCGTTAATTCTCCGCCCTGTCCCGGGGGTCGGGAGGCCGGGGTTTCAATTGACTAGTGCATAATAGCGGGGCCGGCCGGCCTGTATCTAGCGGTGCCACAAAAATCAACGTTGTCTAAGGCGAGAAAATCAAAGCTAAAGTTGAACTAAAGTAAATGAACATGATTTTGATTTCCGTATGACATACAGGGTGCATAAAAAAGTAGACAATTTTGAAATGGCTGTCAATTTCACAAATTTGTTCATTTCATAAATTTTTGATAAATATAGATTGTTAAATAGCTGCTGTAACTTTCATTTTTTGGCACCAATGCCTATCACGCATGCTTAATTCATGAATTTACCTAATTAGCATATTGTTATTGTAAAAAGGTATGAGCAGATGAGCACCTGCTCATAATACTAAAAAATATTGTATAAGATAAATAATCGTGTGAAATGACAGCTTATGCCCCATAATGTTTGCCAAAGATTGCATGTATATGTAGCCTAGGCTTTCAGATCAGTGCTAAGGAGATTCTCCATTTAGCGTGCGTCGTGGGCACAGAGTAGATACATATACAGAGGTGTAACTGGGTAACGACGCAACGAAACGAAATTTAAATTTTCTACCCACGACACACTACCCACGCAATTTCGTACATGACGTCGTAAACAACATGAATTACTTACCGTTTTGTGCTAATATTCGTATAGCCCAAACATCTTTACTGAACCGAGTCAGCAGTTCTTTCTTGTGAGATTCATAATTGTAGGACACTACACCAAAAACTGCATAGAGTCCCAATGCATAAGCGATTATCGCGCCACAACTCCAGCCAATTTCCAAATTAGCGAACGTGAACAGCCAAGCCATGCTGAACGCATCACTAACTACGCAAGCCAGGAAAAATTTGCTTGTAAATACGGCTGGAAAATCGCGGAATAGCGTCGACAAAGCGTAGATAATGTAGCCACCGTTTAGGGTGTAAATCAGACCCCAAATCGAGAAAGCCCAGCCTGCAGGAGTGATTTCAAGGTAGAAGGTATCTGAAACGTTTTTATTGCTCCTTGGGAAGAGGTCTTTGTCACTATTGCTCAAATAGTTTAAGACCAGTTTGATTACGAAGACCAGCAAAGCCAGTATTCCACAGACAATATTTGCTGCAGAAGCTTTGGACATTGTACTTGAAGTTGTTCAAGTTTCGTACTTGGTTTAAATTATGTTGCTGTTCTTCTTCCAGTAGAAGTGATTGTGAGATGATGATTTGCTAGCGGGGAGCTTGTATTTATAGGGTCACATATTAGCTGTCGCACAATCAATTATGCAATGTGCCGGGTACGCGTGACCTGGCATGTGAGGGCATCTATATCATCTATATATTGTATCGTTTATTCGTTTAATAAAGCTCCTACCACGGCTTTGTAAACATCCAAAATGACACTTCAAAGTTGAATTGGCTTAATAGTTTGATTCGAGTAATGGTATAAGAGTTCATTCCAAAGATGAATAACTACGCGATCCGGCTGAATTTCACTACCTCAAGCTTAAGAGCAAAGGAGTCTCGTTGGACTCGTTGGAGCTTTTTAAAATAACCTTACAAACAGCTAAGTTCGAGGAAAACGATCTGGTGTCCGCTATAATGTACATATTTTATGCAACTAGCTCTATCATGATGCCACAATCATTTCTTGCAATGTCAACGACGTGATCATGAAATCGTTTAACGCCGCCCTGCATTTATTCAAACGTTTTGTTTTGCATGAGGAATTTATCTGTTGATTTCCCCTAACCGACGTTTAAGTCTAGTGATTTTATACTTCAATACATCAAAATTATCCCGCCTTCATCCCGTACTAAACACGGGTCATGTAAAACAGCCCCTATAAAATATCTTTATCTCCATATAGTGTAAGTAATTATAAATTGTAAAAAAAATTGCAAATATTTTGCATGTATGCACAATGTAAATCATTCAGTACAATTCATTCTTCCCGCAACAAATCGGTTGTCACGCGTCCTGTAGAGTTACCGCCTCAAATCACGCGAATTAACGCAAATCATTTTTAGAAGCTCTTCATTTATTATGTCTGGGATTTTTGTGGATAGGCCCCTGACATCAGATGTTATGTAACATTATTGACATAGCGTCACAGCTAGCCCACGCATGCCGACGTTGTGTTCTTAGCGCAACCATATTACAATAGACTAAGGTTAGGGAACTCCATGCAGACATAATAGACGTCATTATCTGTGTTTTTTGTCCTAGCTCAAGTTTATGCAAAAAATGGTTTGGTTTAGGGGGCTGGGTAGCAACAGCAGTTGCCAATTACTGCCGCCCCAATCAAAAATACAGAAGAAATGGCTATACACAAATAATAAAAGGGGAGAGCAATGGTGCTCTTGGCTTCATCAGACCATCGTGATAGAGTAAGGTTAGGGAACTCGATTTAGTTTATGCAAAAAAACCAAGACAAAAACATAGATACTGAGGTGTGTTAGTGTTATGTAATGTCTATTAGAATCTTCCAAATAAAATGTACGTTGTCAGTATACTAAGAGTTCGCTTGCATCTCAGTAGTATCTATCTTTCTCTTGAAAATAAATGCCATGTAGCAATAATAGTCTGTGGATTCACGAAATGCCCCCCAAACGAAAAGCACGTGGATAAACACGATGCAGGCTGCACGCTCCACGATCACGAGTGAATTAAGCCTGGTCTCCATATGGTTGACATGCGACTGTCGCGAACTAGCCTGCGAACAGGCTCACTGGTCTTCGCGCCGCCCGTAACCCAGGGCCTGTTCGCAGGCTAGTCGCGAACGTGTCGTGAATGATTTTTATGCTTGTTTCTATATGGTTGTAAAGCCCTGGCCAAACCAGCAAACATTGTTGCATGCAGAAACATTGTTTCCTGCCAATGTTTCGCCATGTTTCCCAGAGTGGGCAAACACTAGGAAACATTAGTAAGAAACATAGGGAAACATCAAATGTTTCTGAATTTTTGCTTCTCGGGAAGCAAATTTTGTTTCCACAACAATGTTTCCACGGGTGGGCAAACAGGGAAACATTTGAGGAAACATCGAGAATCACAAATGTTTCCGCAACAATGTTTCCTAGTTTGCCCAGCTGGGCTTTACTGTCGTGACACTGTCCCAAGTTAATTTCGTAATCAGGGATCGTACAAGCAGCTGCATGGCGGCAGTTTTAAAAAAGACAAACACGGTCCCCTCAAATGGGACCTTTGCCCCCCCCCTGATTGCCGCAAAACTGTTGCCACGCTGTCGTTTTTCTGTTTCCATTAAAACATAACCGTCACGACATGTTTTTAGCCTGTCGCAACTGTCGTCGAGATAGACTCGAGTCTATCTCGACGACACTGTTGTAACTGTCGTGAACTAGGCTGGATCGATATCGCAAATACCGATATACCGCCATCAGAATACCGGTAAATACCGGTATTTTTAACGTGTTTTTTTTAAGCCAAACTGAAGTGCTGACCGTCAAGAATAATCAAGTTTTGACAAAATATTAATGTGGCACACACTGTTATTAGTGCAAATGTCACAAGATTCGCATTATCAAGCTATGTTAACAATTAACAGCGCTAAGCGGCAATTATTAGTAGGGCGTCGAAGTGTTGAATTATTCAGAAAAATATTCGTTTTGTAGGTATATAAATTCAGATAGTGTTTCAGTAAGCTGCTATTAGTTATAAACATAAAAAACGTTGCATTTTTAAAACTAACACATAAACAAGTTAGCATGTCAGTTAAATAAGATGAAAAACAACAAAAAGTTACCTTCTTATACTGCCCGATAAAAAAACAACTTGAAAAGCCAGAAAAGGTTTTCATGCATGTCATGCATCTGTGAGTATTAACTTTGCTTTCTAAACGTGATTGTAAGCAAGTTTGACTTGAAATAGCGTTTCATTTCGGTATCAGGCAGCAAAATACCGAAATGTCGGTATATCGGTATTTTTAAATTGTCAATATCGCCAAACCGGTATCTAAACAAATACCGGTATATCGGATATATCCGGTATATCGATCCAGCCTATCGTGAACTGTTGCCAGCGTGTCGCGACAAGACTTTTCTTCATGTTTCCATTTGGTCGCGAACACTACTCTGACAACAGTTACAACACGTTCGCGACAGTTACGACCATATGGAAACCTGGGGCCGGTTGTATAAAACACTTAATCACTTTTTAATCACTATTTTGTAGTTAAATAGTGATTAACTCTCAAATACGCGCTTCTTATTGGATGACGTTTCCACTAACTATAGTTAACTTTAATCACTTTTTTATACAACCGGCCCCAGGCTTTTAATAACCTAGTACAACTGTAGTTTCGGGAAAGGAACGACGTACTGGAATGCTCAAGGAAATATACAATCTATATATAGTCTTCTTTGTCTTAGAGTAAAAAGACTATTGTTTATGAACAGCTCGACATATTTAAATTATAGGAGTGTTACATTGGCAAATGTTCACAATATCTCATTTTCGACAGAAGATCTATCTAGAAACGCAGAAAATAGACTAGCCGATTGAGGGCCGGATTAACGTTCCGCGGGGCCCGTGGCATATTATTGGAGCGGGGCCCCTTGACCCCCCCCCCCCAACCGGCAGAACGGCATTTTAAATCCTGAATTCAGTGAAGATTAAAAAATATCATTTTGTATTTCATGCGTTGAAAAGTTTCCTGTGTATTTACAAAAAGAGAAAGAATTATACATCAATATAATATTTTGATCGAACTGAAATTTAACCCGGTTTATACCATTAACATTATTATTTACAGGGTAAAGATAGCTAAACATGATAGCGTCCATATAAACTTCTGCCGCCTTCCACGAAATTCAGCGATCTTTTAGAATTTAACAGTTTGCTGCAAATTTCGAAATTTTCTGAACCCTATGATTTTCTGGCCTCGCGATCGCTTTTTTGGAGCCTCTTGCCCAAAGAAGGAACAAAAAATTTTGTGTTCGCGGGCCTGCTTTTGGAGCCTCGTCTTTTTTAACTTTGGGGCCTCGCGGTTTTTTTAGTTTGGGGTTTTGCTTTTGGGGGCCTTGGACTCTTTAGGGCCCCGCGCTGTTTGGATCCCGCGCTAAAACAGGGAACAAAATAATCGTTTGGGGCCTCGATTTTTAAATCTTGGGGCCTATAACGTTTTCTGGGGACCTTGGATTCTTTGGGGCCCCGCGCTGAAACACTAAAACGTGGAAGAAAAAGAAAACATTTGGGGCTGATACAAGAAAGCATTGTTTGGGCCACGCGCTGAGACAGGGAACAAAAAATTCAGAAAAAAAATAGAAGAGAGAAGCGCGGGGCCCCAAAAGCGCGGGGCCCCAAAAGCGCGGGGCCCGTGGCATATGCCGCTTCTGCCATATGGTTAATCCGGCACTGAGCCGATATAGCTGAAGCTCGCGTTGATAAAACGTGGGCAAAATAGATAAAGTATCGATTTCCTGTTGCAGAGAAGTTTAGCACGCGAAAGTCAGGCTTCTACTGTTTATTGCACTCTTGGCGCAATGCCATTGGTTATGGTTATTTCCTCGTGCGCAATAGGGTTTTAAGGATAGGCTTGTCATTAAACAGTCCAGTCTATTGAGGCAAAAACAAAATAAAAACAAACTTAGATGTTGAAATTTGTTCACTATCTACACTTAACATTCACCCATACATTGAAATTTAAAAACTTCACTAAGACACTATTGAGTAATCTTTATTCCTAAATTGCCGGCAATTTTTTTCGCGGACAGTCTTGCAGCGTCTCGCTCCCCCTTGCGTTTTTGCTGTTCCAGTGCGCGTTTTTCACGTTCAGCCTGACGTTTTTCTTTAAGCACGTTCTGTGTTTCCCATTCTACATCCTGATCGGGCATTTCATCCCAGGCATCAGGCTCTTCACTCCACGTCCCAAGTTCAGTCTGAAAACGTAGCAGAACTTTGTCAATGCCGAGTATGTTCGAATAAGGTGGCTTTAAGTGCGACTAGCCAACCCAAAATATAATGGTAGGTGTAACATTTGGGTCATTCGGTCATTCCAAAAAAACCCCCATCTTGATCAACTTTTTCACTGTCAAAGTTCCAGATATGATGTCATTAGGTGAATTTTTGGTACAACAAACAAAAGAAAACTAATTTACAATACACCAAGCCTGAAAATAAATTTCCAACGGTGCCTGACAAAGTGTCAGGTATCAACTGATTGGTGGCTGGCACTGGACATTTTGTGCCTGACAAAAATATTACTGCAACAGAGCAACTATAGTTTTTAGTGGTCCTTGAAATAAAAGAAGCCAATGAAAAGCTTAGTCACAACAATTTTAAAGCCACTACAGCTAGTCAATTATATCATACGGAATATAAAACGGAACATAAATTTCACAGCATTTCACAGGCATATTGTCTTAATATTCATACGCGATGAAATTTGAATTCACATAATTTTTAAATGTGGAATGCAAATATTTAGAAATATATAATGAATTTTTTAATAGTGCCAGTTTCACCAATAGTATATTAATGTGCATGCTGCCAGACAAACTGTCCGGCAAGGAAACAGTTGTGCCGGACAATTACCTTTTCGTACCGGACAATGTCCGTGACCGGCCGCTTATTTTCAGGCTTGCAATACACCTAATGACATCATATCAGGAAACTTTACAGTGAAAAAGTTGATCAAGATGAGATTTTTTACTATAAAGATATATTACATTTCTTCTTTGAATGACCCAAATATTACACATACCAAAAATCATATTTTTTCCTTGGGAATTGTCAGCTATTTTCACAGAAAATTTATGGCAGACTAAGGGATGCTGCAGCCAGAAAGTATTTTTGTCAAATAGGAAGATCAAAAATCTGAGCTTGGTTCTTGGTTCACAAAGCCATTTTAGTGTGCAGATTGTTGAGAAATTATTTGCAGGTTTTTCTTGCAATTTAAAAATTTTGTTCAGATTGATTGACATATTGTAAGAATTTTTGTGTTGGGAATAAATTTCCTCCAAAGGCAAAACTTTACAGTCTGGTAGTCGTCATTGCAATCTGAAAATATGACAATTGAACACAGCCATGCTTTTTCAGGACTTTGCTCCTTGAGTGACTTGCTCCTTGGAGTGACTTGTTTCTTGAGAAAGAGCTTAACTTACCTCTGGTATGCTAGTAAAAGAATCAAATTTAAGTCTATCTGATGGTTGGTTAAAATTGTTAGCCTCGGGAGCTCTCGTTTTCAAACGAATCTAAAAGAACAATGTATTAATTATTACAGTAGTAAAAAATAGCATTGCTGATCTACAATGACTTCAAACCTTTTTGGGTTTTTGAAAGACAGGTTGCATGTCACCAAAGAGATCAATTTCTTCTTGTTGCTGTTCTGACTGTTCATTTGGAGACTCGACTTTTATACTAACAAGACCAGAATCATTTTTACCCCAGTCGTCCCACGAAGCAAGTTCCTCTTCCTGGAGAGAAGACAACATTTTATTGTGGTTTATTAATGGATTAACCCATTAAGTTGCATTGCACCCCAATGCACCCTATTTTATTATTTTACTCTGTCTAATGCCAGATGATTTTACTCGTCAAGAGGAGAGCACTGGTGTTCAATGACTCTATGATCAGACTATCTTGCCCATGTGTCTAGTTAACCGATTAAGTTGCAATTGTGCCCTACTTTATTATTTTATTCTGTCTAACACCAGATGATTTTGGCATGTAGTAAAACACTGACTACCGGAACACCGGAACACCGGAACACCACCAGAACACCGGAACACTACCTAACCCCAACCCCTAACCCCAAACCCTAACCCCAAACAAAGTGGTGGTGTTCCGGTGTTCTGGTGGTGTTCCGGTGGTGTTCCGGTAGTCAGTGTTTTACTACATGCCGATGATTTTATTTGTCAAGGGGAGAGCGCTGGCACTCAAAGGGTTAACAATAGCAGTTTGAATTAACCCATCTAATAAAATCATCTGGTGTTAGACAGAGGGCACATACATTTGAATTAAACATGATTGGTGGCAAGTCTTATCTGATTTAAGTGCACAATTTATAGTTAGCGACGAAATTGGATAAGATTTGCTACCAATCCTGTTGACTCGATAGCTCAATGGCTAGAGCGGCGGTATAGAAACATGAAGATATGAGTTCAAATACCACTCGAGACAACACATTTTTTGTCTTCTGCAGTGTCAGAAAAATATGAAACTATTTTTTCATATCTCTCGGGATGGTTCTGAAATATCCACAAGCAAATGCACAGATTTCAACCTGGGCTGTATTGTCTGATACAGGCCAGCTGTGTTTGATATTTATTTTAGAAATGCTCCATACAATTGTATTTGGTTGATCTTTAATCAAATATATGCAATGTACAATACAGTGACGTCAGCACTCCATACAGACACTCGAAAAACACAGTTTATACAAAGGCATGTTTACCTCCAGTTTTTCAGCCGATTGTTGAACTAAAACGCTACTCGGGGCTTTCGTATTGTCATCTTCGTCTTTGATTTTCTTTCGCCCACAAATACATCTCTTTATAAACTTTAAAAGGGCGACAATCCAGGAGAAAATCTTTGCAAATCTCATTTTGCGGCGGCCATATTTGTTTGGGGTAGAGGAGGCGTGGTTGCTAAGCCGCGGTGTGAAAATTTCTAAATTTCCCAATTTTTTTATTTTGACGCGTTTTAATTTTCTTTTCCGGAATTTGAGCCACATATTTTGATATTTAATAGTGATAACTGATAAAAATTAAAGGAAAATGTTGTTTGAAGTTTTACGGTAACATAAACAGGAAATATTAATTCCGAATATAAACAATAAGATAGTGAAAACAAACTATAAACTGACAACTACCGGTATTTAATGCCGGTAGTGTCATAACTCGCATACGGTGACCGGAAATTGGTTCCCGAGCCAAAATGTCGAATCGAATGTTCGATGCAGACCTACGTGATTGCGTACAAATTTTCGCTCAAAATGATGTGAAATTCACGTATAATCGGTAGATTTTTATCGTAAAGGAAGGAAGGGGCTTTGATTTTGTACTCCTGAAGAAATCAAGATGTCAGACAAAGTTAAAGTGGCCGTACGCGTTCGCCCTTTGAACGGCCGAGGTAAGAATCGCTACTCTAGGTCGATCATGATATATTTTGTAAACACGATAGCAGACCGGTTCGATTTCAGGAATATTGGTTTGTCTTTTAGAAATCGATTTGGGTACAAATATAGTCGTAGACATGGACGAAACACAGACTTGGATGACACATCCAAACGCTAAAGACAGGCGAGTATTAAAAGGGCATGTGTGATTGTTAACTCTTGTTTACATTTGTCGGAGAACTGTCTAGCTTTTTTGAAAATTGTAAAACCTTTTTGAAAAGCCTGTTCTTCTCGCCGGCTAGGGGGTTATAATTACTTAAATTCGGGTGTTTCTAAAGCCGTAATGTGTGTCAAAAAGGTGTAATTTTATGTGGAAAACTCGACACCGCTTTTATTACGGTTAACAAGCTAATATATATATCATTAAACATTCGATGAATTTTGTAATAACTTGTCTTTTTAAATTGGTTAAGAGTTAAGTAAATTCTCGGCGGTTTTTGCAGCTAATGTCGCTTTTTAAAATGTTTGAGAGGAAATTGGCAACAGTTATTTAATACTGCAATGCATGATCGCATTTTAATAGCCGCCCGGAAAATTCTTATGTATTTTAAGAAAGATTGGAAATTGGATATTATTACTTGCGTTTTTTATGCACGTAATGTATTTTTTGTTATTCCCAGGAATTTTTAAAAAGAACAGTGTGTTTACTTTACGTTTTTCCTAATATTAAACGAAAATAATTAAAGTTTAAGTCTTTTACAAAGTGGCATTCACATGATACTCGAGTGGTCAGAATATATGTTTTGATTTGAATAATGTATATATACGTGTTTGATTTATATAAAATATTACGGAAACAGGATGGTGTTTTAATATAGCCATTTATAGCTTCAGGACGTAGGTGTATATAGGAAATTTATAGCTTTGTGTTTAATTAGTGTAAGTGTGTTTGTACATAACTCGGTTTTTTTGAGATTTTTTGGTGAATGATAGGTACATATTTATATTGATTCTGTATATGCATGTCATGTGTGACATTGGATGGTGTGATATATATACTTTGACATTTACAGATTGGTGCGGTTATTTAGTGAACATCTAGTCATGAGGCTTAAAAGTTGCTTCAGACTTGTCGACCTTTGATATTTTGCTTTTTAGCCCTTAAAAACCGGGAGAGCAAAATTAAAGTCATATATGCAGTGTTAAATACAATTTTCCTTTATAATCATTTTACATTCTCTTCAGCAACTTGTTTAATTCTAACATAAGCAACAGGAGAAAATACCTTTGTTGATACTGTGAAACAGCGAGAAAGCACCAGGGGAGTTGACAGGTCTGCTGCTTTCTAGCACCTGTTCACAAGAAAGCCAGCTAGCCTAGCTTTCTAAAGCCCAGGGAGCTTCGTATTACTGATATGACATAGCTTGAGCAGAAAGTGCTCACCAGCAATGATTAATTAATGGTTTAAAATGCCAGGGGTGTTGAATGACATATATATATATGTACATGTGGTACAGTTCGTTCAAATGTTTCAGCTTTATTTACATTGGGTCGTTCCAGAAAAGTCCACACTCCCTCCAAGGAGGAAATTTCTGCTGTCTGGAGGGGGAGGGGTGAAAAATTTGTTTCTGATAACTAGGGGTGCACCGGATTTGGAATTTTCGAATCCGGCCGGAACCGGATTTACCGGATTTGGGCAAAAATTCCGGCCGGAATTCCGGCCGGATTTGCCGGATTTGAGATAAACCAGTAATGGGGACAATTGGGGATAAATCAGTATTCAAAATGGCGGTTTATGTTTTTTACTATTTTTAGTTAGTGTCAGTTTAGATTTTTGATTGTGTTTAAACCTTTTTTAAATATCTTTTTGTTAATAACTTAATATTTTATAATAGTATAAGTGTTTTTTAAACTTTAAAGGGTAATGGCAATAAAAAATTTTATTGCTTTATCTGAAAGAGCATGAAAAAATAAGCCGATTGACCGTTTACTGCTCTATTCTATCTCATCTGGTTCCGAAGTTATACGCAAAAATGTGCAAAATATAAATTGCTGATTGAGCACAACGTGTGACGTCATTGGTAGTGTAAGTATGTTTAATGAATAGTAAACTGAAGCATAGCTCAGTTATTATTGGCTCAAATCAAATGACATTTTGCATACAGATAGTACATGATGAGACGCATGGGAAAATACTCCTAATTTTGTTGTCAAGGCAACACAGTCGTTCCCAGGCCCCTTACACTGATTTTGAATAACTAGTTGCATTTATCTATGTGTATGTCATTTTCGAATTATTATCATGCAAGTAAACTTTTGGCATGCATAGGTATGGTACACATACTTCTGACATTATTTTATTCTTATAAATACCATGAATAAAGGTGTTTTATAAAATTGGCACAAGGGGCCTGGGAACGACATTGTTACCTTGGCAACAAAATTAGAAGTGTTTTTCAATGCGTCTCATCATGTACAATCAGTATCCAAAATTTCATTTGATTTGGGCCCATAATAACTGAGCTATGCTTCAGTTTAGTATTCATTAAACATACTTACCCTACCAATGACGTCACACGTTGTGCTGAAGCAGCAATTTATATTTTGCACATTTTTGCGTATAACTTCGGAACCAGATGAGACAGAATAGAGCAGTAAACGGCCAATCGGCTTATTTTTTCATGCTCTTTCAGATAAAGCAATAAAATTTTTTATTGCCATTACCCTTTAAAGCTGCCAAATTGATGGTTTATCCCATTCTTGGTGAACTTTTTAAGGTGAAAACAGAAATTTAAATCCAGCCGGATTTTCTCCAAATCCGGCCGGATGCCGGAAAATTTGTTAAATCCGGCCGGAATTCCGGCCGGATTTGAAATCCGGTGCAACCCTACTGATAACAGTAAGTGTATTGGGACATCCAAAGGGAGCACTCTCCAAAGGGGGTGGGGTTAATTATGACTTCCAATTTCTTCTGTGGGGGAGGTATGGATGTTTTCTGGAAAACCTTGTTTACATTGTTGTTGAAGTTCATAAAAATGCAGTTAATTTTTTTCAATTTAATTTTTTTTTAATTTTATAAACTTTGTCACAATATTTATTACATATCTAATAGAGGTGTGCAAGTCCGATCCAATCGGATTTGTTTGGATTTCGGAACAAAAATATACATTTCGGATCGGATTGATAAAGTTGTTTTGTAATCGGATCGGATTGGACTTCAATATTCGAAATAAAATGAATTAATTATCCACACATTATCGCGAGAATGAATTATATCCATGCATTTATCAAAGCATTATCATGGTTGTTGCTGCATTTGATTATTCGTTTGATACTTCAATTGGACGTCGCTTTGTCAGCTTCTTGACATGTATTTCTTGCTTTTATATTTATTTGGTTAAATATTTCAACTTGAATGAGAAATTTATTTTATTAAAGGATTCTTCAGATCGAATCGAAATTCTTTATCAAAGCTCGGATTCGGATTAGACAATTTCAGATCGGATTTTAAACATTAGCCAATTGTCGGATTATAAACATCCGATCCGATGCACACCCCTAATATCTAAATACTATAATGACTATAACACATTCCGAGCTATCCCTGCATGTATCGTTTTCCAGGACTAACAAACTGGAAAACTAATAATATATATAGTAGTTGGATATGAAATATGAGTGATCAATTTGCTCTTTTTTTCTGGCGTTTGAGAGAATTTTGAAAGTTGTTAACAATGTTCAAATTTTCTCGCCCACACTAACACAAATATTTAGAGAATTTTTTTAATAAATGATAATTTAATTTTTTATTACAATTTTTAGGAAAGAAAGCAGCAAGGTTTGTATTATTCTTTTCTATCTTTGAATATATTCTACATAATTATTTTACATGTATTCTCAATTGTGTAATATTTTCCCCTTGGCATTAAATAATTCATCTGGCATAAAATAATAATGTAAATTTTGGTCCACTGCATTTTCAATCATGCTGATTATGATAATATTTCGAATCCATATTACTTAGACTTTTACATATGATCATTGCTTCTGGTCAATGGATGAAAACAACAAAAAGTTTGCAAGTAAGTTTTGCACCTTCATGGAAGAATACAATATTATTATAGATGTTATGTCTCCACTGCACCAGAGGTCATTAAGTCTTAGCTAGGATTTTAGATATTGGGCATGTTTCTAAATGACCAGCGTGTGCACGTGTCAATTACTTTGAATGGCCAAATTCACGGTTCTACAACAACAGACAATGCTTGTGGTTGTTCTATGCTTTGCAACCAAATACAAGGCGAGCATATATACTCATATTGTGCACTGACATTAAAATGTTAAGTTATTTCAGCAACTCTTGGGGGTATTTAAAACCACTTTAAATACTCGGTTCCCATTATCCATCAAAACATTAAAACATCACGGATCACTTTTGCCAATTTCAACAACAATGTTGTTCAATAGATTTTACAAACTTTCTTACGACGTAAATAGAAAGAAATTTTGTCTGTTGTAAGTGGCACCATCTTATTTTATGAACCTACACGGTCTTATATGTAAATAGTGAAGCCGCGTTCATTTTATCTAGCCGTGTTTTTCCATTTTTGGCCACGATAACATGGCCCTCTAGCTAAGACCCTGCCGACGGTTGCAGGCACATTTCAGAAACAACTTTCTTGTAGGCACATTTTGTAAAACTTTTGAAACCAAGAAGTTGTAAAATAAATTTTTATAATTCTTATTTTATTATGTATTTTACTATATGTTACTGTGAGTCTATTAAAATCATTGTTAATAGGGACACTGACAAGTTAAAATTTCTAGAGAACAACTACCAGTGCACAGTGCACATGTATGATTGTGAGTCTGAGCTTAAAATTCTTGATTTCTTGCGCCAAAAACGTATATAAAGCCATAACTCATAACATGCCTCAAATTTCCCTCTAAAAATTGCCGTAGAACGTAACAGCTGTCGATGGCAATTTTGACAGTTTCCACAGCATTTTTCAAATATTTAGTGTAATAAAACTTTAATTTTTTTGTTACTTTGGCTTTTTGACAAGCTAGAAACATGTCTACGTATTTCTTTAGTGTTTTTTTTTCGAAGAAAACTGAGTCTAAAATAGTGATTTACGCATGATTTGATCAACATCTGAATTCAAGTATCAAAGTAGTAATGCACAGTGAATAGTATAAAAATTGCACTATACGGCAAAAAATTGCCATCGTTGCTTCAATGATCCACATTGCAGCATTTTGTTCTCCCTCTATGGCAATTGCCGTGATAAAATTTGAGCCCTGACTCATAAGCCAGCCTACTATTAGGCAGCTATAGTAATTCATGGCTGATATGTTGCATGAAGACATTTTGCAGGTACATTTTCGAATAATTTTTGCGATGCAAAAAAGTTAATGACCCCTGCACTGCCCTATTGTGTCTTATACAGTATCATGTTTTATGTTCATTAACTTTTTGGTGTAGTTACACTTTACCACATCAATGGACAACTTGCATGTTAGACTAAATTTTAATCTAAGTAGAGAGAAGGGAATAAAACACAACAGTTAAAAAGAAAATAATGAAATTAGTAAAATTGCAAAATTTTATTAATTTATTTTACAATTATTTTACAACATTTCGTAACCAAATTTTGCAATTTTACTGATTTTAATAAGTTCTTTACGGGAATTTACTTTTTTTTGCCTAAATCAAAAATTAGTCTAACATGCAAGTTGTCTATTTCCTCTCTGTTTTTTCCTAGATCAAGAAAAAGTCTACAAATGTTTGGGGACAGATGTGTTAACAAATGCCTTCAAGGGCTACAATGCATGTTTATTTGCTTACGGACAAACTGGTAAATATAAGAACATGACAATATGTTACAAAAAATGTCAACTGAGGTTGAAATTAAACCTACTGTATAAATCATCTTACAGTATATAGGTACTTATAGACATAGTGGATTAGTTAGGAGTCACAGATGTATTTGCTTCAGGGTATTAGCCAGAAAGAAAAAGTTTTGTCCGTTAAACGTAAATTGACCATTTGCGTAACAGACTAAATTTTGATCTCAACAAAATTTTCATCACAGCTTGAAAGAGCATCACAAAATTAGTAATATTCCAAAGTTTCGTTAGAAAATGTTGTAAAATGCGTTAAAATATAGCCTTGCTAAATTTGCAATTTTCAGTCATTTTAGATTACAAACGGGAAATTGACAGCCCGATGCGCTTTTTGAGGCTGTCAATTTCCCGTTTGTAATATACTGTAAAATGACTGAAAATTGCAAATTTCGCAAGGCTATATTTTACGCATTTTACAACATTTCCTAACGAAACTTTGGAATATTACTAATTTTGTGATGCTCTTTCAAGCTGTGATGAAATTTTTGTCTAGACTTGTTTAGATCAAAATGTAGTCTATTACGCAAATGGTCAATTGGGAAAGTGTTTTTGACCGATCAAAATCCTTGTGTAGGAATAAATAAGGTTGTTTTCCAACGTGTTTCTCCGTAGATGCAAACAACGGTAGCTTGGTTTTGTAATTTCATTTTCGGTGAATGAACACTGAAAAATACACCCGATGGTACTTCGTTTTGCATATTTCATTTCCGGTGAATGAACACGGATGCACACCGATTACACATTGTTTTGTACATTTCATTTCAGTGAATGCACACCCAATATGAATGAAACGCGATACATTTTGAGAAAATAGTTAATGGGAAAAGTAAATAAAACGTTCTTTGATATAATAATATAAAATCAGACGCAATGCACTTTCTCATCAGAAAAAATGAAAATCTTCCAATAGACCCAGTTGGGAAAGCCCCTTAGCTACTTCAATAGACCTTTCCCCTTTTAAGTGAAATTTTGATCTAGACAAGTCTGGGCAAAAATTTCATCACAGCTTGAAAGAGCATCGCAAAATTAGTAATATTCCGAAGTTTCGTTGCGAAATGTTGTAAAATGCGGATAATATAGCCTTGCGAAGTTTGCCATTTTTCAGTCATTTTAGATTACAAACGGGAAATTGATAATCAGGGGCCGGTTGTATAAAACTCTTAATCACTTTTTTAATCACTCTTTTGTAGTTAAATAGTGATTAACTCTTAAATAGGCGCTTCTTATTGGATGATGTTTGCACTTAATCATAGTTAACTTTAATCACTGTTTTATACAACCGGCCCCTGATGATCAAACTGATTATCAATTTCCCATTTGTAATACAAAATGACTGAAAAACTGCAAACTTCGCAAAGCTATATTATCCACATTTTACAACATTTCGCAACGAAATTTTGGAATATTACTAATTTTGTGATGCTCTTTCAAGCTGTGAAATTTTTGTCCAGGCTGGTCTAGATCAAAATTTCACTTAAAAGGGGAAAGGTCTATTGGGAAGAGTCCGTCAAACGGACAGTATATGGGCTAGCTAACACCCTGTCAGCATGTTAGTTTTTATTTACTTTACTGTAATTTTATATTAAGAATTAGTGCTACATGACAATATTTGAAAATATGGCATTGTGCTCTCATGTGCCCAGTGTACTTTGCTATTTTACTACCTGGTATCTTCCAAAAAACTGGACACTGCTGACATAAAAGCTATAAAAGCTATCGCAATGAAGATCATTGCATTCAGAAAGGACTAACTTAGATTTTGATATATAGCACTTGAATTTACATGCAATATTGACTGCGCTATTGATGTTTGAACGTTGAACTACTGTTTTTGAAAATGCCAAAAATTAGCATAAAACAACTAAGTCATTACCGATATAGTTATACTTGTTAAATAATTTATTATTAGCATGACAAAATTACTGGATGCTGATTGGTTGAGAGGAGTACAATTATTTCATTAATTGTACTGCAGTACAATTAATGATTTTCCCAAAACAAACAAAATGGCGGAAAGGTATTTTAAACCAATGTTTTAAACACAAATGTGAAATGAAATTGCTCTAGAGGAAGTAGATTAAAATACGAACAAAAGCACCAAATTTTGCTTTAACAAAAGAACTAAATGAAAATACGAACAAAAGCACCAAATTTTGCTTTAACAAAAGAACTAAATGAAAATACGAACAAAAGCACCAAATTTTGGTTGAAAGTCTGGCAGGACTGGGCTTTGGCGAGAGAATAAGATGCAATCTCGTTCCCCGAGCCTGCGATCCTGGGGAAGGAACGCGAGGCTCTGGGATAATCCGTTTCAGGGAGGAATCTGATTGGCCGTTGAAATGGCATGCGTAGTTCAATCTTAGCCACAATTCCTGGCTTCCTGCAACGGATTATCCCAGAGCCTCGCGTTCATTCTCGAGGATCGCAGGCTCGGAGAACGCGAGATTGAATAAGATGTTGACATTGAGAAGTATCCAATTTTGTCATGCTAACTCGTGATGTTTGGAAATTTTGCCAAATTGGACTCGCCCCGGCGGCTTGTCCAACTTTGGCAAAATTTCCAAACATCACTCGTACTATTAATTCCTAATTGTACTCGCCATCGCATGATTGCCTATACAAATCTTTTTATTTTGGTTGTATCTCGCTCAATATCGCATGTAAATCCAAGTGCTACAGGTATATATCAAAATCTAAGTTAGTCCTTTCTGAATACAATGATCTTTATTTCATTATGATAGCTTTTACGACACATGACATCAAACAGTGTCAAGTTGGGTTTTGACAGACAATTTATTTGTCAAGGGAAAAGGGCTTTGAATGGGTTAACATTAAATATGATTACAGTTATGAAATGTTTATTTCAGGCTCAGGGAAATCTTACACCATGATGGGAAGTTCGACACAAACTGGAATCATTCCACGTCTTTGTGATGACATGTTTGAGAGAATCTCAAATGTGAGTCAGCCATCCAAGAGCTCTGAGCGTGAATAATAAAATCACTGTCACTGAGTGTTACGTTATTTTTGCAGAATGAAGACGAAAACATCTCGTTTAAAGTTGAAGTATCGTACATCGAAATTTATAATGAAAAAGTTCGAGATTTGCTCAATCCCAGAGGGTAATGGCGATGAGAAAACTTTTTCGTATAATTCTTCAGACATTTCTTGTGAAATTTCAGTGTGATCATATAAATATGTGTTCTTTCACAGTGGGAAACAAACGCTAAAAGTCAGAGAACATAAAGTGACAGGACCCTACGTCGACGGATTAACAAAACTCGTTGTCTCATCATTCCAGGTTTGAGTCCATTTTGTTCAGTTTGCTTAAAGGACATTGGCAATACAAAATTAGTTTGTCTCATACATAAGAACTCTTAAAATTGCATATTAAACTCTATTACCGATTACCGTCATATCTTGCTTAGTTCTCGAAATATTTAGACCGAAATTAATGAGCTGTGCGCCATCTTGGAAAAATTCTTTGCCTCATTAACTATGGTTTTGATGACGTCAGGAGTTGGGTTAACCATATAAAACTACTCTTAAATGACCGAGTAACAATCCAAAATTGTTTGAAATGTTTTTAATCATTTCTAAATTTCAGACAGCAACCAGAAACGAAGTTTTGGACCTATATTGATCGCTTACTTTCAAGATAAAAAATTAGCGTTACCCCTTTCTTGACGTAACATGCATATCCTCAATAAACTAGTAGCCCCAGACTACTAGTTTTCTTTTCAAATCCCACATAGATAGCCCAAAAAAACCCAAAAAATTGCTGATGTTTTTCAGCTGGGTTTTTTCCGAGCTTCTTTTTCACTCATGAGATAACTTCCATTTCTAAAATTTACTTATTCTGAAAGGCCATTTCTACTAGTAGCCTGGGGGCATAGTAAAGTCCGACTTAACAAACAATTAGCCATTCCGAAGTTGATGAGAGGACTGGGGACGAGTGTTAAAAAGTGCCCAAATTAAGAAATGAACCAAAGCACTAAAAAGACCACCTCAAAATTACTAAGTATACAAAGTTTGAAGACGTTCACATGAATGCCCTTCGAATAATAAGCTTTCGAAAATTGTGAAATTACTGATTAAAAGTATCACGATTTTCGAAAGCTTATTATTCGAAGGATATTCATGTAAACGTCTTCAAACTTTGTATACTTACTAATTTTGAGGTGGTCTTTTTAGTGATTTGGTTCATTTCTTAATTTGGGCACTTTTTAACACTCGTCCCCAGTCCACTCATTTTTTCATACTCAATTTTGTGAATCATGCCTACAAGACGGTCTTCATTTCCGCAAGACGGCCATCATTTCTAGTGTATAGATTTCACTGGTTAGATGTAATACTGTGTTATTTTTTCTTCAGGATATCGACTCTCTGATGATAGAAGGCAACAAATCACGAACAGTTGCCGCAACCAACATGAATTCAGAGAGCAGTCGTTCTCATGCTGTGTTTAATATCGTACTTACTCTGGCTGAATTTGATGAGGAAACACAGGTAGACATTGATCACACTTTATTCTAACTGTAACGTATACTTTTTACTGTAGTTCGTGATTGGTTAACATTGACCAATAACAGATAACATTGACCTCTGTCTGAATGATTTTTGTATCAATTTCAGCCTCATTCAACAATTATTTAAGATTGATAACTTTGTATTTAGACCACAGGCGAGAAAGCGAGTAAACTAAGTCTGGTTGATTTAGCTGGCAGTGAGAGAGCGAGTAAGACTGGAACTACTGGAGATAGACTGAGAGAAGGAAGCAATATTAACAAGTAAGAACAGCCAAGAGATGCTTAAGGTGGCTCCCTACAGTTGTTTAAGCATGGGACTGGTAACGAAATGAGGTGATCTTGTCGAGTAGAAATTTTATCACGTCACCAAAAGTTCATTTGACCGCGCAAGGTTTGTAATGCAATAACTTTTTTCCTTCGGTCGATATTTCTGAAATTTTGTATTTTGGAAGTACTAGTCATTTATTGCAATATACATAATTTTTAAAAAAATTCTATAAAACAGTTTTTGTGGAACAAATTTCGCGAAGTATCTCAAAAACTTAATTTTTTCGTTGCTGTTTCTTTACAACTGCAGGAAGCCACCTTAATATTGCATGTTTTATTGCTTTACAGAATAACAAATCAAAAAGTTCCGTGCAGATGATGTACTGTGCTTCTTGTGAGCATTCATTCATTTATATCGCTTATTCTTTCACCTTTAGGTCACTTCACACACTGGGTTTGGTGATATCAGCTTTAGCAGATCAGGTAGATAAACTATTTGCCAAAAACAAACCTTCTAAACATTTGTACTGGTACTGAACCTCAGTTATTTATCAATATTGAGCTTTTAAGCGTTACTTAAGTTGTATCGCTGTACAATACTGTAATATTTGTACTGGATAGCTCTATCAGTTGTAAACTGTTCTCCCTAGAGGTTCTGCAAAGGGCTATCCCTTATAATCTAAGCCCGATCGCAGAGGCGTAAAGCACATGAACTGGCTACAAGAATTTCGCGGCGAGTTGCGTGTTACTAGTCTCTCGTTCCCAGGCGACTTCCGGTTCCCGAGATATCGCAAAAAAACCCGATTACGATTAGCATGTGGACTTGATCAAATGCGCTTTACATCAAGTATTATACGCTCACCTAATTACATACACTTAGCCTAGACTATTTTATCTTTACAACAATTGTGATATCACTTTCTTAACTGTGTTTATCCTAACCCACCCTGTCAATTTTCCCTGTGGGAGGAAACCGGAGCACCCAGAGAAAACCCACGACTTTCGGCAGAGTGTTGACGGACTCTTTTCACATGAGTCCGTAGCGAGAATCAAACCCACGAACTCAGAGGCGAAAGGCGTTTGCTCTCACGACTGCGGCACCGAAGCCCCAAAACGAAGGCTATACCAACATTCCACCAACGGTGATAGTAGTTTTTTTATTCTTAGGCGTCTGGAAAAGCGAAGAAGGCATTTTTTGTTCCGTACAGGGACTCGGTTTTGACTTGGCTTTTAAAGGTAAGAAATATTTTTATTGCTAATATTTAAAATCAGCGGTATTTCTCCACGCTGTTCTTCAAAATCCTGGAGTATCGTTGAATTGGAGAAGAAGAAAAAATTTTGGACTGAAGGTTCCTAAAATGGAACGCAATTTAGAGACTGGAACGCAATTTAGAGTACGTTCAGCGCATTGAAGATCTCCCAGTGTCTGTATTGGTCATCATCAAATGAAAATTCATGTTGTAGGTTTGTTCGCACTTTTATAGGTCCTTGAATGTAATCGAAACAATCTGTAAAGTGTTGGAAAATCTTTTATTTTCAGGACAATCTTGGTGGAAACAGTAAGACAGTGATGGTTGCAACGATCAGCCCCGCAGCAGATAATTACGAAGAGACAATGTCTACGTTGAGATATGCTGATAGAGCTAAGAGAATTGTGAACCATGCTGTTGTTAACGAAGATCCTAATGCAAAGGTAGATACGCCGATTTACACACACAATTTTTGCCTAAAACCGTCGCATGCAACTTGAGTTGTACACTGTACCGTGTAAATCAAGCACACAATTCGCCTACACACAATGGACCATTCCCCAATTAACCAAAATTTTGATCTCAACAAGTCTAGACAAAATTCCATCACAGCTTGAAAGAGCATCACAAAATTAGTAATATTCCAAAGTTTCGTTCCGAAATGTTGTAAAATGCCGATAATATAGCCTTGCGAAATTTGCAATTTTCAGTCATTTTAGATTACAAACGGGAAATGGTTACCACTTTTCCAAAATTTTAATCTTAACTAGCCTAAACAAAAATTTCATCACAGCTTGAAAGAGCATCGCAAAATTAGTAATATTCCAAAGTTTCGTTGCAAAATGTTGTAAATTGCGGATAATATAGCCTTGCGAAATTTGCAATTTTCAGTCATTTTGTATTACGCACAGAAGTGGTAACCATTTCCCGTTTGTAATCTAAAATGACTGAAAATTGCAAACTTCACAAGGCTATATTATCCGCATTTTACAACATTTTGCAACGAAACTTTGGAATATTACTAATTTTGTGATGCTCTTTCAAGCTGTGATGAAATTTTTGTCTAGACTTGTTGAGTTCAAAATTTTGATTAATTGGGGAATGGTCCATTGTTGCAGGTCTATTGTAAAAAGGCACAAGTTGTTACACTTTTGCCAGTTGTAACAAGTTCGAAGATTTAATTATACTGCCTATATTGTTTGGCATAAAGTACTTACTACTATTTATATATCGACTATATTTACCCAACGAAGGCATGGAAACAAAATGGAATCGAAAAAATGTCCGACCAAGTTTGAAAGTTTCCAATCAAATTTCATTTTGGTCGACATTTTTCAGGACAACGTTATTTCAGGCTCTGAAAATGGATCCATGGAGTTTGATTTCCAATGTTTCGCCAAATATCTGGCACTGCTTTAGTTTAGGGGCGGACCATTAGAAATCCCGGGAGGGGGGTATAAAATTTTTGCGGCACGAATTTTTTTTTTCAGTTTTGATTTTTTTTAATGCATTTAACCTCTGCACGAATTTTTTTCAAGACTATTTGTACTTTGCTGTTTGCTTGCACGAATCGAATTTTTTTTCTCTGACGTAATGGCTGCACGAATTTTTTTCCAGGCATTTTTCTTTGCACGAATTTTTTTGGGGAATTTTCACCCCACCCCTTCCCGGGATTTCTAATGGTCCGCCCCTTATGAAAAAGCGTCATGGTAACCAAAAGCGTCATGGTAACCATGGTGGTGAATTTGATCACTTCCTCTACAGATAATTCGTGAATTGCGCGAGGAGGTCGAGCGCCTGAAACAGATCCTCAAGATCAAAGGTTTCTCAGATTCCAAAGACGAAATAAAAGAAAAGTTGACGGAAAGTGAGAATTTGATGGAGGAATTCACCATGTCTTGGGAGGAGAAAGAGAAAAATACTGAGAAAATTAAACAGGTGCTTTTGCTGTACTCGAATATAATTTGTTGAATTTAGACATCTAAAGCAGGCCTTAAATTCTTCTCTCTTTCATGCTAAACTTTCAACTGTTCATTGTTTGGCTGTCGTTTTTCAGTATATAGTGTTACTTTAATACGATTTAAAATGCAGGATTTTGGATTGACCTAAGAAACAAGATTTTGTCTATCATTATTTCTACACAGGAACGTCATAAGGCTCTTGAAGAGATGGGCATATCCATTCAATCTTCTGGTATTGCTGTCGAGAAGAATAAATTTTATCTTGTCAATTTGAACGCTGATCCTTCCCTCAACGAACTGCTTGTTTATTACTTAAAGGTTAGTTACAGAGCTCATTTGCCTTGATCAAACCAGATTCTGTTCATTTCAGGCTCATTTGGCCAGAAAACATGTCATAGAAAATTTGCTATTTACGTAAACACGTGCATTGACAAATAAAGTTTGCTATATGAAAACTTATAGTCTGTCACAAGCTTTAAAGTTGAAATTTGTATTTAATCATTCCAGTGGTGGTCAGGTGCAGGGGTGGAAAAAATAGGCGAGCACTGTTCGCAGGAAATGTTAAACAGCTGTAGGAAATTTGTTTGAATGAAGATTTGCTATTGAAAATTTGAAGGAAACCTTAACACCCATGTCCCACTATGGGCGCAACAACATATGGTTGACAGACATTATTCCTTGAATTTAAAACATGGTCAGCTAGAACACTATATGTTTATGCACATGCAGATTTAGCACAAAAATACTCCGTTGGTCTGCAGGAAATTTTTGTCTCCAGGTTCTGCTCCCAGGAAGAAAATTCTTTTTTCCTGCCCTGGCCAGGAGCTGTCCAGCAGCGTACTGTCTTGAAAGTTCACCCAGTAGTTTCACGGTTACAATTTACAGATATGTTGAATAAATATAATTTCACAATTATATAAAATATATATCCTCGATTCTCAAAGAGAAAATGGAAATTTTTTCACATTTGAATATTTGATTGTTTTTGTAATTTTTGTTTTCATTATCAAATACTTATGATGTTAGACGTTTGCAGCAAAATTAAGAATTTGCCTTATTCCATCAAAGCATGAAACTAAAAATAATATTAATATTGGACTTATTAGTATTTTGAACTAGTAATGTCAACAAACTTTGAATGCCTCAAACATTTAAAAGTAAGATATATAGGATATTAGACGGTTGCGAAGAGATATGGATTTTATGTTCGAGTGGCAAAAACAATATCTCACGAGTGAGCGCAGCGAACGAGTGAGATATTGTTTTTGACACGAGAACATAAATCCATATCTTCTCGCAACCGTTTAATGTTCTGTTTATTATATGGACTTACTCAGAGTCACAAAAATACACACAAAGACGACATGTAATTAAGCACGCGAAAAATCAGTATAAAAGCGATATTTTTTAAAATTATACTGCAAACATAAAACTAGAATAAATTTTGCTTATCTCAAGATGTCTTTTAAATGTTTTCGTTTTATTTCCAACGTTAATTTCGTTTTAAATACGAACCAAAGACCATTTGTATTTTCAAAACAACAACAATGAAAATGGCGGGAAATTTTCAGAACTTCGTATGTCACTACCAGGGGTGAAGTACGGAAAATACGCGCACCTGGCCCCGGATGTAGTGACGTATGAGTTCTACGAGTGTTTTAGTTTCCAGTAAAACACCATTGTCCATATAATAAATTAAATTTTTTCACCCCCTTCCCTTGCACCCCCATTGGTCAAGGTCAACAGGGGTACCTCCCCGTAATTGGTCATTATTTTGTTATCTTTGTGATGTTACTCTGAGTGTATATCCACACCGGACAAGCTTGAAAAATATGCCTGACCATGGTGGGAATCGAACCTACGACCTGTGGAATACTAGCCCAATGCTCTGCCAACTGAGCTACGCGGTCAGGTCGGTTCGAGTATGTGATATTTCGAAACTGAGCCTAGTTCCTTCGATATCAATGCAATCTAGTAATCATGATTTTTTTATAGGAACATACTGTTGTTGGCAGACATGACGCTGACCATCACACTGTAAGTCCAGGGATTTTTTAACAATGCTTCACACTATCCGGAAGAATAATGGACCTTTCCTCTTATAACTAAAATTTCGATGTAGACAAAAAGAGCATCATAAAATTAGTAATATTCCAAAGTTTTGTTGCAAAATCTTGTAAAATGCGGATAATATAGCTTGCGAAGTTTGCCGTTTTTCAGTCGTTTTGTATTACAAATGGGAAATTGACATCCGATTCGGGTGTTGGGGCTGCAATTTCCCGTTTGTAATGCAAAATGACTGAAAATTGCAAATTTCGCAAGGCTCTATTTTCCTCATTTTACAACATTTCGCAACGAAACTTTGGAATATTACTAATTTTGTGATGCTCTTTCAAGCTGTGATGAAATATTTGTATAGACTTGTCTAGATCAAAATTTTGGTTATAAGGGGAAAGGTCTATTGAAATAATGTTTTTATTGAGAAATCTTTGCTAAATTTCCTTTCAGGACATTCAACTCCGAGGTCTTGGCATCTTACCAGAGCATTGCACTTTGGAAATAATTGATAACGAAGTTTTCGTCACACCGATGCCGAACGCAAGGTTCGTAACGTAGTTAGCCCAGTTGTTAGCGGGAGGCGAATAAATGGCCTACAAATGACAAATCGTTATGTAAAAAATGGCCAAAAAATTATAGCGGCCTAGAATTTTATGGAAAAGTTCGTAGGTCAACTTTTCAGTCACTTTTAAACACTCGGAATGGCCAGCTAAATGAACACAGAAACTAACCTGTCCAAAATAACTTTCATTAAATTTAAATTTGCAAGTCACAACTAGTTTGTTACAGGTCTGCAAACAAGCTGTTACAAATGTGTTCACAAGCTGTCGACAAGTTGTGTTCGCACTGCTTGTTTCTACTTGTAACAACTTTGGACCAAGCTGTTAACAACTTGACAAGCTTGATGGTATTATCAGACTTGGTACAAGGTTGTTCTAACATTTCTGATACAGTCATGATATTCCAAGAATGTTACAAGGTTGTAACAATATTGTTATATCATGACTGTATCGGACTTGTTGGAACAACCTTGCAACAAGTTTGATAATCATGTTTCGCTCGCTACTCTGGTTTAAATAAATGATTACAAAGCCCAGTCGAATTGTAATCAAGACCCAACGTTTCGACACTCCAGTCTAGTGTCTTCATCAGGGGTGATCTAAAATTGCGATCGTGGCTTCTTAAATACCCAAGGGATGACGTCACCTGCCAAGAAGATGCATATATTCTTCTGGCAAATAGGCGCCGTCATCCCTATTCAAAGCATGATGACTCATATTTATATGCCACGCTTCTAGGCAAAGTCTTTGACCATAGCGATTGTTTGTGGTAATTACTTTAGAGTTTTCCCACGCAATCTCGTGTTTGGTGTAACATACATGTTCGGCTAAAGCTGATTTTCCCTTGTCTAAAGTTGAAACAGCCTTTTGATGTTTTTTTAGCCGTGTACCAAACTGGCGTTTAGACTGACCCAAATACTCTTTATCGCAGTCACCTCATGGTATAGAATATATAACATGAGTCTTCTGATTTTTTTCAACAGGATCTTTTGGCTTTGCGAAAATATGGCCTAAGGTCAAATAGGGTTTTAAGGCAACCTTAATATTACAATTACTTAAGATTCTCTTGATTGGTTCTGTGACACCTTGAATGTACGGAACTATTGCAAAACCCTTAACAGAGGTATCACCCTCGGGTTGGTTCCTACAAACAGGTGGTCTCAGGCAATCATTAAGAAAACGCTTTGGGTAATTGTTTTCCCCTAAAACATTTAGAACATATTCACGTTCATTAGCTTGAGAATCACTGTTTGACGGCAACGATTCAGCTCTTTGAAGAAAAGTTTTTGCTACGGATCTTTTATGGCTTACTGAGTGATGAGAGTCGTATGACAAGTATTTGTCTGTGTGTGTGGGTTTGCGATAAACATCAGTCTCTAACTTCCCTTCGACAGTTCTGTGTACATTCAAATCTAAAAAAGCTAAATGTCCATTTATTTCACGTTCTACCGTGAATTGGATGGACGGCTCAATAGAATTTAAATGTTGCAGCAGAATATCGATCTCATTTGTAGAAACCGCAGAGATGACATCATCGACGAAACGTTTCCAAAACGATAGGGACACCGATGTTTCGTCGATGATGTCATCTCTGCGGTCTCTACGTGAATATGTTCTAAATGTTTTAGGGGAAAACAATTACCCAAAGCGTTTTCTTAATGATTGCCTGAGACCACCTGTTTGTAGGAACCAAAATAACTCCGAGGGTGATACCTCTGTTAAGGGTTTTGCAATAGTTCCATACATTCAAGGTGTCACAGAATCAATCAAGAGAATCTTAAGTAATTGTAATATTAAGGTTGCCTTAAAACCCTATTTGACCTTAGGCCATATTTTCGCAAAGCCAAAAGATCCTGTTGAAAAAATCAGAAGACTCATGCTATATATTCTATACCATGCGGTGACTGCGATAAAGAGTATTTGGGTCAGTCTAAACGCCAGTTTGGTACACGGCTAAAAGAACATCAAAAGGCTGTTTCAACTTTAGACAAGGGAAAATCAGCGTAATTACCACAAACAATCGCTATGGTCAAAGACTTTGCCTAGAAGCGTGGCATATAAATATGAGTCATCATGCTTTGAATAGGGATGACGGCGCCTATTTGCCAGAAGAATATATGCATCTTCTTGGCAGGTGACGTCATCCCTTGGGTATTTAAGAAGCCACGATCACAGTTTTAGATCACCCCTGATGAAGACACTAGACTGGAGTGTCGAAACGTTGGGTCTTGATTACAATTCGACTGGGCTTTGTAATAATTTATTTAAACCAGAGTAGCGAGCGAAACATGATTGATATACCTGGTTGCAGTGAACGAACAAACTTTATAAGTTTGATAATATCAACAAGGTTGTTACAAGTTGTGACAAGCTGTGCGAACACAACTTGTAATAACTCCAACTTGTTGACGGCTTGTTGGCAGACTTTCTACAAGATGTGAGATTTTTGCGCGTGTGTACACTATATGAAAATAATTGTAGGCCATGAAAATTTTTAATTCGCACCGTAGTGTGGTATAATTAATTTATATATAAATTATAAATAATTTATATCTGTAAATAACTATATGATTGCATTGTCTTATTTCCAGGACGTGTCGTAATGGTGTGGTGGTCACGGAGAAAACTGTACTACATCATGGAGATCGTATCTTGTGGGGAAATAATCATTTCTTTAGAATAAACTGTCCTCGTTCTCCCGAGACAGGTTTGTACGAATTATTATTTATAAAAATGATTAGATTTTGTGTACAGGTGAATTCTGAAACGTTCAACTAACAGGCTAAAGGACCGTTTACACTTACTTAAAATCGTCCCAAAAATTGCAAGTGTAAACTGGCCCTAACAAGCTAACAAACTACACACGTAAAACCATAGACAATCCAAAAGACATTGTCTATGGTAAAACACACACATGGTATGTCTTTTGGATTGTCTTGTCTATGGTTTTACTTGTGTAGTTTGTTAGCTTGTTAGGACAATATTTTTCTGTGTTGGTGTTGTGTACTCAGGTGAATAATATGTTTGCGATGTTACTCTGAGTGCATATCCACACCGGGCGAGCTTGAAAAATATGCCCGGCCACAGTGGGATTCGAACCTACGACCTTTGGAATACTAG